ACGAATGTAGTATGGGTTCTGGCCCAAGAATTGCCTATTGTTTAATTTAGGGGATGATATGGCAAAAATCTTCATTTTTGTCTTTTTTTGTCACTCAGAGGCCACAATTATGACCACGAACATCACGAGATTTTAAACAGAGAAAGAGGTGTGATCGTAGAATTAGCGAGACTATCTTGATGAAGATTGGGTAATACTTAGCGGGACAAATCGACCCACTCTTTTGTGTGAAAAATGGTAAAATTTGCATTCTGTGGTGTATATATTCACACCTGGACGACATAGACCCGAGATGTTGATAGTTTATCCAAGAGGAGTTGTTGACCTTTAAATTGATACCCATTATATTGTTATATGGAATCTCTATGGAATTTTGAAGGAAGTTCACGTTATGGTCAAGGACGACACCTACAAATTTCGGTGATGATCAGATGATATTTAGGGAATGAAATTGACATATTATTGTATGGTTTCATAGTCGCTGATTTGAAAACCAGTAAGGAAGGTAGTAAAGTCAGGCTGGGCCAACTATATGATTCCCTTCACCACTTTGGGTATGTCCTACATATGTATTCATGTCAACGTTCCGAAAAAAATTTAGCACCATTTACCTAAAATAGGAGGAAAATATATATGTGGAAGCTATATCTAAATCTAAATCAGATTTCGACGAAACTAGCCCGAGATTAATTTATATGAACTTCTGCTCATTTTACAAAATTATATGGCAATCGGGAAAATTTTGGGTCTTTAGTGCACAATTTACATTAAATCGGACGAAAATATATATGGGAACTATGTCTAAATCTGAACCGATTTTCAAGAAACTTGACACACATCATTCTAGAGTTTATTCAGTACGCTATGCCGAATGTCGTGCAAATCGAAAGATTATACTTTGAGTATTTATCCAAATATTGGCTTACTTGAGTAGCCATCATTTAGGAATTTACAAAGTGGATTGACGAAAATATTTTATTCCTTCAATTTTATACAAATGATTCTTATGATCTCCTGTGTCGCTTCCTAAATGATGATAACTTAGCAGGAACGGTTCTAGTATTTTTTAGAAAGTAGATGGAAAGTCTGTTCCAGAACCTACAAGAATGTAACATTTTTTTACTACAATAACAGTTTTTCCTTTATGATATCGGAAAAATAGTAAAAATTAGTAGATTCTTGCAGTACGGGTACAGACCATGAATGTTACAATATATTCAATATTTTAAATCCCATTTCGATTCAAATTATATGAATGTACCGGCTTTTTGTAATACGTTACGTATACAGGGTGAGATGAAAAAAACTACAACCAACTTCAGACTACTGTCATTTTCAAGCCACTCGTCCGACAGCACTTAAAATTATTCCACTGACAGCTCAATATATTGTTTACAAGCGTACAAAAGCATTTTGGTGATAATTTTCTAGAAAAAAGTTATTCATAATGGAATCCAAGCGTCAAAGGGTGATTTCTTAATATTTGGCTGGAAAACTACAAGTGGCTATCGTTAAAGCATTCCAGCACTTAAGAGTGAATAAATCGTTTGTGTCTCGTACCATCGTTTGTTATAGTGATACTGGAGGGGACGGAAGAAAACAGCGTCAGCAGAAATGGTTCGAAAAGTAAAGAAGCGACTTGATCGAAACCCGCGTCGCAGTGGCCGAAAAATTACTCGTGAGCTGAACATATCGCAATATTCCATTCGGCAAATATTGAAAAATTAGTTCGGGGTAAAGCCATTGGAATTCCAAAAAGTGCAAGAATTTACACCGTAACAGAAACAAAATAGACCCAAAAGAGCTTCGCTTGGCCGAAAGTGGTGAACAGCCAAATTTGGTTTTCTCCGATGAAAACCAAAAAGGTCAGCTTGAAATGTGCACCTTCGGTTGGCCACCAAAACTCCAGCGCCGGCCATGGTGATGGTGTGGGTTCGTATTAATCAACCGTGGCATCAGAATAAATGCCGAATATTATCGCGAAAATATTCTGGAGGGTATATTAAAACCTTGGACAAGCAAAAAATTTGGCCGCAGACTTGAAATTCCAACAGGACTCAGCACCATCGCACTAAGCACCCAAGAATGGTTACAAAATGACGTTCCTCGCTGCATTTTAAGCGCACAAAGGCCACCAAAATCTCCGGATACCAATCCGTTGGACTATTGTGTCTGGAATATTTTGGAAAGCAATGTTGGCACTAAAAAAATACCAAATTGTCGATCACCTCAAGCAATCGCTTAGTCGGGAATGGGCCAAAATACCGGTTTCGTGCCAAAGGTGACCAATTTGAACAAATCTAAACTTATTCTAAAATTTGATGCTATTTCCGACATTTTTTGCTTTCATTCAATAAAATTTAAAAAATTAATTAAAATTAGACTAAAATCGCAATTTTCAAACTTTTTAATGACCTGTAACTCTGTTGGCAACTTTTTAAGCTTTGTGCAACTTTTTTTCTCTATTTTTGTTAACCCTACGGTCAATAACCAAAAAAGTATACGTAGATCAATAACCGTGGTATATTTGTACCCATCCAAAGGTAGCTCTGTAACTCATTAAAAAATTGGACTATCGTGCGATTTTTTATTTTAAATTAGTCTATACGGATCTGATCTAGATGTAGGAACTCAAAATTATGTATGCATTAAAATAATATATATTTAAATTCATGATTAAATGATAATCTATCTAAAACAATCATAGTAAATTCGTTATAGCTTTCGAATGGGTTAAGCTTTTTTAGTTATTTAGGTGTTCCTCAACCCTTCGGCAAAATTTTGTGGCCCTAGACAACATAGGGCCATCAGGTTGTCTTGTGGAAATCAGAAACTACCTTGGTTTTCCTTTGGTATACAGGGACTAAAACAATTATTAAACTCCTTGTACATTAGAACTTTTTACCGGGTTAACCTACTTTATGAGGATTTATTTGACATATATGCAAAGGAAATGACAATTTAAACCCACTGGGTTAACGAAATCCGGTTAAATGTAGACGTACTGTTATAGCCAATTATTCACATTTTATGAGTTTAGAGATTGTAATTTTTAATTATTTAATACTGCATTTTTAACATTATTAAATAATGTTAAATAAATAATGTTAATGTAAATCGTTATTTAATGATAGTTTATATATGTACGCCAATTTAGGATTGTAATAAATCAGACTAATTCGATTATAGAAAAAGTTTCAGGCCCAATATGATGAATAAATGGATAATTACGGACAATAATCATTGTTTTTGTCCCTGTATACCAAGAGAAAACTAGGGTAGTTTTTGACTTCCACGAGTCGCCCTAATGGACCCATTTTGTCTAGGGCCACAAAAAATTTGCAGAGGGGTAGAGGAACACTTAAATAAGATCCCAATAAAAAATACACCTAAGTCTGTTTTTACACGGTAGATTGGTTCCAGAAGAAGCCGTATAAAAAAAGGGAATCCTCCTAAATTAGTGCTATTTACATTTGATTTGACCAGTAAAGATTGTTTGTACGCGCTAAAGGGGAATTCACATAAATCTTTAAGCTAGTATTCGCAAACTATCGATACTATCGATGGTTTCAGACATTTTTCTTTCATAAATACTTTTTTGTGATATGAACATACATCGCAAAAATTAAATTTGACAAAAAAATTTAAGTACATAAAATTTCAAATCGTGCTAAATGAAATAAAATCGTGTAAAAAATTAAAAATACTCAGTTTTAAAAAAAACTTTTAATTTTCAAACCATGTACAAAAATACCGTGTAAAAACAGACTTAGGTGTAACTAAAAAAGCTTAACCCATTCGAAAGCTATAACGAATTTACTGATTGTTTTAGATAGATTATCATTTAATCATGGATTTAAATATATATTATTTTAATGTATATATAATTTAAAGTTCCTACATCTAGATCGTAAAATAAAAAACCGCACTATAGTCCAATTTTTTAATGAGTTACAGAGCTATCTTTGGATGGGTACAAATGTACCACGGTTATTGATCTACGTAGGTAAAAACTTTAAAAAATTATAAAAATTATATATATGGAAAATATTTATAATTTTTTCTTCGATTATGTGTGAAATTACCTCAAGAATGATTCCTCATAATTTGATCCAAATATCTCCATTATTAAAAATTTCAGAGCATTTTATTTAAAAAAAGGTACAAATGTACCCGGTTATTGACCGTAGGGTTAAGTTATATTTCCTTTAATGTTTAAATTCAAACTAATTTTAATTCGTACACGCCGTTTTTTGCGTTTCAAGAATATCTGGCATATTCTCGGAACAGTTTTATTGTCAAATTTAATTTTTTGTGCGACTTTTTTTTAAAGGGAACTATTTTTTGTGAAACTTTTTTTTAAATTCCCAGCGGTAATACTGGATCTATTAATCGATTAACAAATGGACGCAATGTTCGGAAATTATTTTTGATTAGAAAACACCGCAACCATTAGGCAATTTAATATTCTCAAAACCTTTATATTTTAAAAGGATGTCCGTCCGGTTTATGATAGGCCATATCGGGACATTGACACTACTAACAGTTCATTAGACGTTACGAGAAAACTTAAAACATTTGCCCGAAAATTGATTTAACATTTGAATATTTTAAAAACTTTGTAAAATAACTGTAATTAACTGTCGATATAAGAAATGTAATTGGTATTAAGTGATGGTCAAGGTCCCCTTAAAAAAAAAAGGAAAACTTGGAGGACAACAGTACAAAAACCATAATATAATAAAACTAAATAAATTCCCCAAAGACCACGTGGTTACATTCCCCAGCCACGAGCCATTTAGTTTATTGATCCCACGATAACAAAGAACTAATAAAATTATTGATACAAAAATGCCACTCCTGCCAACAAATAATTGCTGGGATAAAAATAGTTTCTTTTTTACGCAAATAACGTGCGTGTGTTCTTTTGTAAAACTAAAACACTTTAGAGGATACATCATAAAAGACATTAATATTATGTCCTTTTTCCCCATACTTACTCATTTTCACGGGATCGCAGAAAAACCGGGGTATTTCGAGATCCAGAACTGCCTGTTGTTGATTTTTGTGGACTAACGCGACGCATGTTGTTGATGAGGCTGCGGGAACGTGGCAGCATAGCAACATGCTGTTGACTATCTCTGGATGTTGGAGTCACAGATTTTCCACCTCCGGTGGAGCGGCGAGTTTTTGTCGCAACGCGTCCACGACTACCGGGATTGGAACCTTTATAGCTACCGCTACCACTACTGCCACCGCTGCTATTATTCAGGTGCGGTACACTGGAGGCACGTGTAACCATTTTCTTTATTTTTTTTCAATTTTCAAATTCCTTTATTTTATTTTTTGACATTTGACCTTTTTGGATAGAAAATAAAGTAATTAATGGAATGATTCTCACTTCTAGGTTAGGTTAGCTATTTTTGTATTTTCGGTTTTAAATATTTCATAATATTAACACAGGTATATTAACACATTAATTACAACAACACATTAAGAATATTTGTTACGTATTGTTGTGCAAAATACATGAAATTCTATTAAATATTAACCGTTATAACGATTCGCCGTTTTTTTCAAATTCGCTTCGAACGGCTGTTATTACAAATCATCATTATTTCAATGGAAATTATTAATTGCGTTTCGAAAACATTATCATACAAAGGAACGCGACGTATTTCACACACAAACACACCCACCCACGCACGAACACCTTTTAAAAGTAGCCGTTTTCCATTTCTTGTTGATATTTTCAAATTTTCATCCGTTACCGTGTTGTTTCGTTGTTTTCCAATCCAAATTTCAACTCTCACTAAATTTCCCGCTATAACTGGTCAAGAGTTTTATTCAAATGTTGTCCTTTTACTAACTGTATGTCCTTTTAGTGAGAGTGCGAGATTTATGGTAATTTGTTTTATTTTTCTCCTGAACTCCTAGTAGAACAGTACAACCCTACAACAATTCATTCATTAATGTCCTTTTGGTAGCCTGCTCTCGTCATTTATTTACTCAAAACACCTGCTGGACATTGTCCATTTTACTGCGTTTGAGAGAGTGTGTCCTATTAGAATGTGTTGTCAGTTTTTCCCGCCCCTATATCTCTCTCAATTATTTTCCTAGCATGCATATTTCAATTTGATTCTAATAACCTTGTCCCATGACATGTCTCAGCATGTTAGCATTATTCATAGTTAGTAACTGGTTTTTCTAATCTTTTGGTTTTAGTTGTTCGATTCAATTTTTCTTCTTAACGAGGGTGGTGTGAAAAACATTAACAGAGATGCGAAAGAAATTCCACTTCAGTAGCCGACGATAAAGTGTAAATCTTTTATCTATAAAGCATGGAACAATCGGGCATGTTCTGGCATTCACTTCAACGGTACAAGTGTATCGAACACATGTCTTTTGAAGTGAATTCTTTACATTTAATATTTTTTTAATTTTTTTTTTTAAATAAAAAAGCCACCTTATGATAGGTTAGTATGTTATTATTGCGTATAATTTGTTTCAAATCACAAAATTAACATGAAATGTCATTGAAAACCAATTTTAAATAAATACTAAGATTTGTGTTGCATTTTCTTCAACTGGATTGTTCGCTTGACACAAACAGCTGATCTGAAGTAAGGCATAAGAAGATAGGGTTACCAAATGTTCCCCTTAAATCAATCAACAAACTATTGATATTACAGAGTCTTTCATACATTTATTTTATGTATAAAGTATAATAAAGTATTAAAAATAATAATAGAATTATCGTTAGAATTAAAGAAATTACTAATAAATAACAGAAACAATCTTAAAAACAGTTTTTATTAGGTGTGTCTGGTTACTTTTCCAGTAACATTTATTCAGTAAGTTCTAGTTCAGAGAGTAAGCCTTTCTTACTCTCTTTTTTGCGATAGTACTGGGAAAAGTAAACAGACAACATTTAGTAAGATTTAGCAAATAAACAGCTGATTCAAGAAAACATTTGATTTGCGCCGAAATAAACAACAAACAAAGGACGAACACAATTATTTGTATTGCATTTAACATTAAAAATAAAATGAATAATACAAGAAAAATTGATCTGGTATGTTCCCCGGGAACATTTAAGCTCCCTGCATCAATACATTGCCCTCTATCTGGAACTTACCTAAAAATATATAAGGAATTAGTTTCTAATTTAATGAAACTTTGCATTACTAATTTCAAATTGAACTTTGCAAATTAAAAAAATGTTTTAAATAATGTTTGTGTTTGGTCATAAAACAGCTGATGGCTGAGTTTGCAAAATCTTATTGCACAAAATTCTTTCAGTAAACTTCCGGAAAGTTTGTTGTTGTTCAACTGTCAAACTTGCTCTCTCACTTGACTCTCTTTTACTGGATTTTGGTGTAAACAGACAACTTTTAGTAACATTTGGTAACAATTGTTACCAAATATCGAGTAAACAGACAGAGTTATTGTATGACAACACTGATTCTGCAAAGTACCATGTTGACGTTCATTTTTGTCGCAGTTCGAAAATTTGAATGTGAGTAAGAAAAAATCTACTATGCAGGTAATGGCTTCTGTCAAATATAAAGAAAACACACACAGCAAGTGCTTGTGTTTATTTGATTTTTTTTTTCAACACAACCTCAAACGCGAAAAATGTATGAAAGATTATTATTTCTTCCAAAAATTCAGTAGGTAAAAATTCATTTTAATTTCAATAAAATTTGAATATGTGCTATATTTAATAATATTTGGTCTGTTCCCGTACTGCGAGAATCTACTCGATTTTATTATTTTCTTCGATATCATAAATGAAAATTCGATATCGTAATAAAAATTAGTACATTTTAGTTTGAATTGTATTTAGTTTGAATTTATTTGTGAAAGCTTTTCTAAAAGTGATGGATCATATATAACAAACCTGCAAAAGTCCTGCAAGATAGAAAATGTGCCTTCGAACGCAGAAGATTCAAAGCAAGGGAGATTTGATACGAAGACTTTACAGGACTTATAATTAACAAGTTAAATCGATGTTAAGTACCGCCCGGACGACCTTTTTGTACCCTCCACCATGAGGATGAAATTATACCCGCTCTTTACCTCGATTTGCTAAAAATGTTATATTAAATCGAGATAATTTAAATACAACACTGTTTTTGTACTCATAAAATATACCACTTTTAGAAAAAAGTACCAAAATGGTAACGCTTCAAAATTCCTTAAAATCCAAGATCTATTAATAAGGCAGCTAAGAAAAAATTTATTTTTTCATTTACAATGGATATTAAAGCGGGTTTAGACATAACATTTGATCATGATTAAAGGCCGAATAAGTGTTTATTTTCTTAATCACGCTAAGAGCACGTTTGGACTACTAAATCCACTCGACCTCAAATGTCAATTCTATAGCGTATACGTCACCTTAATCTTGTTCAGAAATCCAGTGGATTATATTTGAGGTATAGCCTATGAAATTGACATTTGAGATAGAGTGGATATCGTAAATCTAAACGTACCTTAATTTCTCCAAGATTTACCATATATGTTATGTTTTATGTTTCTCACAATGAACCAAAATATGCAATTGTTTTCACATGTAGTTTTTTTATATTCAATAGTTGCAAAATCCAAAAGTGAAAGAAAATGAAAATTATTAATAGAATTATTGTGTTTATCAGGTATTTTCCAAACAATCAAATCATTGCAGGAATATTTCAATTGTTATAATTTTTCTTTTCAATTTCAATTTGCAAACAAATATTTTTGGCGTACCTTAACAATGTTGTATGTAAACTAAAGGTACGTTTAGATTTACGAAATCCACTCTTTCTCAAATGTCAATTCCATTGCTTATACGCCAATTATAATTCACTGGATTTGTGAACAGGATTAACGTAACGTATACGCAATGGTATTGACTTTTGAGATCGAGTGGATTTAGTAGTCTGGACGTAGCCTAACAAACATCAGCTGATTGACATTTAGGCCATTATTAAAGGTATGTGTAAACGTTATGGATTTCGTTATTAAAGTTGATTTAAAAGAAAAGTATTTGTACATTTATGAGATGCTACGTGGTTTTTGTACGAAAAATATATCTTTGTCACAATGAACCAAATATATAAACTGTGGCAAATGCCAAAATCGGGATATGGGATAATGTATTTTTTATGAAATTTGGAAGTATTTGCTTTTTTTCCATGTATGTATGTTTATTTAAGCTCTTTAAAAGACAAATTTAAACATTAATCTCTTCTACTGGATTTTTGCAATAACGAACGGCAATTAGTAAAAAATTCTACAAATTTCTCAAGTGTTTTTTTTAGAATGGACACATTATATGATGGGGATTTACGAAATCCTGAAAATAAATTAAAGTTATTTACATCGACTCTGAGATTATTTTAAATGACAGTCAGCTTCCAGCTTTTCGTTAATCCATATCATTTAAAGTGTGTATGTGAAATAAAAAATAATCAAGAAAATCACAAATTTCCCGTCCAAAATTCTTTTGTTTAGCTGTCAATAGTAAAAAAAATCTCACTATTGCGCCGTATTGTGACAATATTATACAAATAACTGACACTTTTTTACCACCTCCCTCAACCACAAACAATTTACATGAATTGCACATTTAATGTTTAGAGACACCTTTGTGGTTTTAAAGTGTCAATGACTTTGTCATATTTGTTTCCCCGCCTCAAAATGGTGGTTGGAATTATAAAGTTCACCCTTTTTGAACATGAACACACAGGCTGAACATTTCCGCTTTCGAATAATTATAAATGATATTACGTACACAATTACACATTTGTGTGTGTGGATTGACACCCTTGTAAAGATAAACATGAATATTTGTAATTATCATTATGAAAACTTGATAGAAAAATAGACAAAGTGATGATATTTCTGATAAGTTATCATGGCATAAATATACAAGGAAGGTAGATATGACAGCATATAATTTACCTTTGATAGCATTTAGCTTTCAAAATTTTAATGAAAATATCTTCCTTCGAAATGTATTTATATTATTATGCTCAGTCGCAGAAATTACTAAATCATTTATATTTATAAATATCTTGAAGTTCCCTGCCTCTAAAACAACCATGGTTAAATCTTCAGAGCAATGTTCAGCTTTAGAAAATATGATATATTTTGTTCAATTTATTGAAAATATGCCAATCGACAAACATAAAATTTTATGGAATTTATTTTTCATTTTATTTATATATGAACTCCATATTAAAAGGTGTTGCCATTATCAATTTCTCAAATGAGACTACCTTCCATAATAATGCCATGATGCAATAATAAGGTGATGTATCAAAACAAAAACTTTTGTTTTTGTCTCGACCATCTGTCAAATTTTGACAGTTAATTGAGTCATCAGCTGCGCTAAATGGTACAGTGTTAACTATGTATTTATGTTCATATCCATGGCATAATTACAGTAGGTAGTCTCATTTGAGAATTTTATGATGGCAACCCTTTTTAATTTGGAACTCATCTATTTGAAATAATATGAAAAAAAATCCTAAAATGTTATGTATGTCGATAAACAAAACATATTTTCTAAAGCTGATCATTGCTCTTAAGATTTAACCAATGTTGTTACATCTTATATTTATAAGTTTTAGACGCAGGGAACTTCAAAAATTTTATAAATATAATATATTTAACAATTTTTGCCATGGTATAATAATAGAAGGTAACAGCAAGTGTTGTTGTATAACAAACGATACAACAACCACATGGAAATTTGTTGTTGTAAGTTTTACTAGGGTCAACTTCATTTGACAGAAAAATGTAAACAAACAAATTATCAACAAATTTTATTTATTTTGAAAATGTAATATTTTCGAATCCTCAAGATAAAATTGAAAAAAATGAATGAAAATCTAACAAGTTTATATTTCTATCGCTTCCACATATTGCCTATAATTTAGCCATTTCCACTTATATGTGTAACCCATATGAAAATGCTGGGAATTCGCGAGTTATTCCATGAGGAAAGATTTGCTTCCTCAAACTTTCCCAGCAGGCAGATTGAGTAAATTGAATACGGGAGGACATTCAATAAAGAACAATTTCGAATTGTATCCGTTCCCAATTATCCTGTTGGGTGATTTTTAAAAACATAATTTGTCATATTCATATTGACACTACTATTACGTTGGAATCAAATCAGCTGGGTTTTGCTGTTACCTTTTATAATTGTACCATGAATTTTTGCAGCTAAACACATGATATGCGTATATTTCGAAGGAAGATATTTTCATTTAAATTTTGAAAGCTGAATACGGTCACAGGCAAATTTATGAAAAAATTGGAAACATATGACATATGACTACCTTGTATAATTATGCCATTGTTCATATCATTACTGATTGATATTTATGCATTTTATTTTATACAATTTAATTGGTGCGCAACAAATTTCAGCAATAATAAATGCTCTATCAACAATTAAAACATTTCAAATTTATTTCAAATATATGTATTTGAAATCGTGATCTAAATAACTGTAGTTATAAAATGCAACACTGTTTTGGTTGCAGGCATTTAAAAAGAGTTTAGAAGTACGTTTAGATTTACGAAATTCACTCGATCTCAATTAATTACATTGCGTATACGTCAAATATAATCCACTGAATTTTTGAACATGACTAAGGTGACGTATACGCTATGGAATTGACACGAAATTGTTTATACATGAAAACAAGGTCACCAGTTCCAATGGTTGAACAGGGCTAATCTAAACACACTTTAAGCTATGCCATGATGCAATAATATGGTGATGTATCACAACAAAAACTTTTGTTTTTGTCTCGACCATCTGTCAAAATGTTCCTTATAATATTTCACATGGTTGGTAACATTGCACATCGAATTCAAGTAGAAATTACCCACTTTGACAGTTAATCGAGATATCAGCTGCGCTAAATTGACTACCTGCTTATTGTGTCATGAGCCTTCCAAATCGACTCGATTTATAAATGCAGGTGTCAAATCCTTGCTGTTTATACTAGAACTAAAATTATATAAAGTTGACTTGTCGGATTTTTTTTTTGGTACAACTATGAAAATATTGATTGAAAAATTGCCAAAGAAATTATTAAACCAGGAAATTATTTATGTGTACGTTAACAAATAAAAACTGACAAATCCACTGTATATAATTTTGATACTAGTCTAAACAGTTAGTACTTTGTACTATCGTACAATTTAAAAATCGATTCGATTTATTGGATTTACTAAATCCAGTACAATGTTAATACACTATTGTGTATGTTCTGGAACACACGGTGAGTTCTTTACACTTCACCTCAGAAGTTATCTGCTGTTCTGAATTGACATTTTCGAACTTCTGTACATCAAATATAAACTTTAACATGGTACTTTGCAGAAAAGTGTTGCCAACCAATATAAATTGAATTCGTTTATAAATGTTTTTCTGTCGTTTTAAGTAATTTTGTTAATACTAAAAGATTCTTGCAGTACGGGAACATACCAATTATTTTTTTAATATTTTATTATTCCCAACATAAATTATATGTCTGAAAGACTCTGTAATATGATTAATTTGTTGATTAATTTATGAGGAACATTTGGTAACCCTGTCTTGTACAATATAGTTGCAACAATTTGTATTTCGATTGAAACAACTCCATTATTCTTTGCGCAGTTACACTGAACATGTCTTATGATATATCATATATGTTATCATTTCCTTTGTAATCTGTCAAATAAATGATAATTTTTCGTTAAACATGTACGGTGGAACTATGCCCTTCTTAGCAATGGATGGAGTTTATGTCTTAATCTGACTTCGAGTGACTCTCTCTTCACCTTCAAATTTCTATACTTTCTGTTAATTTTAATTATTATATGCAGAAATAAATTATTGGTAAATATAAAGGATTTTACATTTAAATTTGTCAAGTGACCAGCAACCTTTAAATAATCCATCATTCAAGAATGGAAAATCTGCCCAAACAATATGGCAACATCGCTTTGCCTGTTAAAACAACCAAGATGCTATTGTCAAAAACTATATTCCTCTCTATCGCACACATTATGTTGTTTGTGTTGTTGTTCTTGTTTTCGTTTTTGCATTTTGTTTTGTGCAAAAAAGAAAAACAGACACAACTTAACGAACGAATCCAATGTTTAATTCTGCCGGCGACACGAGGAAAGAGCAGTGAGTGAATTATTCTTGATTTTTGTAAGGCAACATCATAAATGTGCTTTGTATAGTGCGAATTATTTGCAATATTTGCGAAACAGTTTATTTTTGTATCATCTAAAGTTTGAGTGCTCAGCGAAAAGGTAATAGAGATGACGGCAATATTAAAATAATTGTAAAGTGTTGAATTTAATGTGAAATATAGCAAAAATTTGCATAAAAAGAATTGTTTGAGAGGCAGCAGACAGTTGTGGCTCGAGAATCTGTCAGTCTGCTGTGTGGTGGTGTATCGTAAGAAGAAGCATAACAAATGTTTTGTGTGTGCTGCCAATGCCACTGCTAGTGGAAGGAACAACAACGAAATTAACGTAAATTGTGAAATATTTTTTGTGTGGTTGGCTGGAGGAACACCATCTTGAAATCCTCCTCCACGGTGAAAACAGCAACAAAGTGGCGAAGATGACGATCAGTTAAAAATAGAAATTATTAATGGATTTTTTTTAAATTTTTCTATTCTTTTTCTTTCCCCAGTTTCGAAGAACATAATATACGAATATTGTCTTTGTTCCTATTGTGCTAAAAGAAGAAGAATTGTAAAAAAGCCATTGAAAAAAGAAGGAAAACGTGAGTGTAAATACAACAGCCAGAAGTAGTGCTTGATATTTTTTTGCAACACAGTTGATTATTGTGAGCAACGACAACAACAACAGCGCAAACAATAGACAAACAGTGTGTGTGAAGAAGAAGCAAAGGCAAGGCGTCGCGTAGTAGTTACCGGTTGCTTGTGGTGATCATCATCAGCCATCCATCCATCTATCTGCATTCGTTCGTACTCCTTTTTGCCTACATAGCTCCAAATAGAGGAGTCGTCAAATTGATGATAATTTCATAGTCAGCCGTTAAATTATTTGAGCAACAACAGATGTCTTCTAGCCCCCAAGTCGTCGAACAAGCAGCTTCCTCCTCCACTCTTGAGCAACCAGCAGCCAAGAAGCGGAAGCTTGCATCCAGCAGTACAACATCCCCAACCTCCTCCACCAGCCCCCACAATAACAACAACATTAGTGGCAGCAGCGGTGGTGACGGCAACGGCGACGCTGTTGATGCTCTGAGTGGGAAAGAGACGACCACCGCTACAGCTGTTTCATCGTCTTCGTCCTGCTCTGTTTCGTTAAGTTGCGAAAACGCAGCCGGCTCAATCGTTTCAACAACGGGCGAGAGTGGCAGCGGCGGCATTAGTACATCGTCAGCAGTGAATAAAGAAAGCAAAATTGTAAAAAGTGGTGACCAGAGAAATTCCTCCTCGTGCATTGAGAAGAAACAGGAAAACTCCCCAGCAGCAGCAGTAGTGGACTCTAATCTGGCAAAACAACAAACAAGCGCTAATAGCAACAACAGCTCGGCCGTTTCATCTACAACCAATAGCAGCAAAAACAACACCAACAGCAGCACCACAAACAACTCATCGGGAATGGCTTCTATTTCTGGTGGTGGCTCATCCGCTGGCGGTGACATCGATGAATCGTTGTACTCGCGCCAATTGTATGTGCTTGGTCATGATGCAATGCGTCGTATGGCCAGCTCGGACATCTTGTTGTCTGGCCTAAATGGTTTGGGTTTGGAAATAGCCAAGAACGTCATCTTGGGTGGTGTTAAATCCATAACTCTCCATGACACCGATAATTGTACGGTAAGTACTGTGAAATAAATAGCTTATCTCCATAGTGAAAATTCAAAATAATTGTCCACTAAAACTAAAACCAGTAGCAGAAGGTGGTGCATAATTAGAATTCTGTCAATTCTGTTTTGGAAAAAATCGATTTTTCCTTTAACAGCGGTGGTGGTGGTGCTGTGCTGCTCAATTATCAGAATATATATAGAAGAAGAAAAAAATTGTTTGGTTAGGTTTTTCTCCCTCCCATTTTTTCATGAGTAATTATCTGTGAAAAAACCAAACATTTGCCTGGAGAAAAGAGCACCCGACTACTTCCAAGCTAAATTTCAAGCGATTGCTTGCTTATAAATTTAGGCCGAAAAGTTAAAAATAATATTTCCATACATCGCAAAGTAAACAGGCCATGTTAAGATTTGGATGAAAGAAAGACCGAAGAAAAAAGGTTGATGAAATTGTTGTTGTGTCATTGTATGGCACAAACATACATTGCTACACACACGTTCGCATATACAAAGTATAATTTTCTTCGTTCCGTTTGTTTCCCCCCAAATTTTTGCATTATTCAGTTTGTGTGAGTGTGTGTGCTGCTATGAGGAGAAATGTGTGTGTTTGTACGGTTGTTGTCATTTTTCCATGGATATTTTTCTGCGAAGTTGAAGTTTTCTTTGGCTGTGTGTGTGTGTGCGTGCGTGAGAATGTCGCGTTGCCAGATTGCATTATTGCTCATCATTTGTGAGTTTCGTTCAGTTCTTATTGGTATGCTGGAAATTTCTTTTGTATGGCAAGGTTGTGCTTTTGTTGTTATTGGGAGGGAAAAAACAACACGTACTCCACCGCAATTGCATTGTTGGTTTGGCGGGGAACAACAAAAATGTGAAAAAGAAATTAAATAAAAAACAAAGTAATATGAATTAAATTAAAAGAAAAAACACCACATTCACACAATGAGTCATACTTATTATTTGTGTGATTTTTTTTTTTTTTTTGATTTGTTCAAGTCTAAGCAAAGATATGAATTGGTGGTGTATGTGACACCTGAGAGTGCAGACCAACAAAATGAACCAGGCACAAGTGCATTGACTGTCAGTTGCTGATTTTTTTGTTTGCTCATGTTTGAATTTCATCAGAGATCTTTTGCTTTTATGGCAACATTTAAGAATATCAAAAATGTTTTATTTCTTAATCTGTTTTATCTGTGAAAGTTTTATTGTCTATATTAATTTCAACATTCACAACATGAATAAGCATAATATAGTTCAATATCATAATAGCAAAATCATAGTGAGCCTCCCAGGATTATCCGCACTATAGTATGTGTTTAGTTTTGGAATTCCATTAGAATATAGGGTTATACATTTCATGGTGTCAAAAGTAAATAAAACACAACATATTTTTTCAAGATAGGGCAAGTGTTCCTTTTTATACCCTCCGCCATAAGGTGGAGTGTATATTAAATTTGCCTCATTGGCTGTTAAATCATACTACCAAAAATTATCTATATAGATCCTCGTTTTTGTATAGCCCCATATAACCGCAGCAACACTATTAGGTATTTTAAGAATTTAAATCATCTTCATTTTACATTCTATCCTAGAGTTTTCTCCAAATTGTGCCCTTTGTGCCCCAAGAGTTTTTAATGCCGCGAAAAATTGGTCCTAGACCTAGACATACCGATTGGTTTGTCATATCGCTCAATTGTTTCATGACCGGCATAAATGAGATTTGGGACACGCTTATGCAATAAAATACGCAAAATTTGTCCCCTATTCCACACTTTCGTCATCCAGACGAATTATGGTTCACAGATGACTCCTTCAACAGTGAATCCAAACCATTTTCTGTAATTAAGCAATATTCAAGTAAAAAATTTTCACCAGTTTTACCGCAGAGCTCTATGCTGTTAAAACTGGTATTACTCTTGCCTCAAAAGGAAAGAGGACACTTATATATGTGTCAATAATTTCAGCGTAGCTAAAGCCTTTCAAAAAAATAAGAGAGATGTTTACGATGATATCATCCATAATCCGGACCACTTTACGGTACTTATTTTTTGGATATTCACACTCAGGTATCAAAGGTAATGACTTCTGACAATGAAAGCGAAAGAAGCTTTAAATTTAAGTCAAATTCTAGAAATGCCGTGTTTTCCATTCAGCATACTTGGCGTTTATAAATCTAAATAACGCACAAAAGAACTCGCAAACTGGCAATCATCCGAAACCTTTCAACTACTGAACCCAAATATACCCCGAGAACACTGCAATTTATATCTTAGTAGGTTGGAAAATGCTCATTTAATACTCGCTATTATTATGAAAATTCTGCGCCTGCACGATGCTCCTTTTACGAAGAGTATTTGCCCATTTCACATATTTTGATGGAATAAAGGGTTTCAGAATTAGACCTTAGTTAGCTGGTTTGTGACAGAACGTTTGTTCCATAAGCCGCTCTTAAACAAGTTTTCCAGGTGCGTCGATCTTGTGCGCAGCTCATCCAATTTGAAAGATCATATTCCAAGATGTTTTCTTCCACTTGACCTTTCCATCAGATTCGTGGTCTTCCCCTTCTGCATGAATTATCAGCTGGTTCACTTTTATACGCCTTTCGAGCTGGGCATCCTCATCCAGCTCGATACGTCTGACTATGTCGATGTCCGACGGCGATATTCACTGTCGACGCAAGACCTGCCTCATAAACGTCTTGTAGTACAACACATTTAGAACTGATCTCATGGGCGAAAGAGATCCAAATTTTGTTGGAATAACGAGGCGACTGTAAAGAACACAAAAAAATTATGGGGACACTAAAATGAGGATAGCAGACCTAAAGGATTCTAATAGGACATCTTGGCCTGCCGTCACATTTACACAAGATTTAGCGCGTGGAACACAGTAGGTACAACTCTTGGGAAATTATATTATTCAAGAAATTTGAATGGAAAAGTCTGAACGGCTTCATTAAGAACACAGAATTCCTTGAAGCTCAGGCAGATCAAATCCAAAGATGAGTAGTTTTTCTCTATTCATCAACCTATCCTAACATTATTGGACACATTTTTCTTAAAGTAATTTATTAGTTTTGTTTATATTTATTTCTCTTTCGAGATGAACTACATTATCGAAATTGCCTGAAAGGGGAAGCGAGAGAAATATTACATTCCCACCAAATTGCGAAGTGTTTCGCCATTGGTTAATCGACTCATCATGCATATAAAGGAAAAGTGATAGGAACATGGTTCCTTTTAAGAATATGCATAGAATAACTTTCTAAGACGATTTGTGCATGTCCGTCCGTCTGTCTGTCCATGCTAATTTGTAAACAAAGTCGCATTTATGATTCGAATTGGAAGAAATTTGGCACAGCTTATTTATTTGGCCCAAGGATAACCCCTATTGAAATTGGGAAAAATCGGTTCAGATTTAGATATAGCGCCCATTTATATTTTCGTCCGATTTAAGGTGAATGGTGCACCAAAGTCCCTATATATCTTTCGATTTGCACGAAATTTGGCACAGCGTACTGAATTGCGTCTAGAATGATGTGTGCTAAGTTTCGTGAAAATCAATTCGGATTTAGATATAGCTCCCATATATATTTTCGTCCGATTTAAGGTAAATGGTGCAACAAACTCATAATGTTTGTCTGAATTTCACAACGTATCAAATTGAGACTAGAATGATGTTATTTCGTTTTATTGAAATTGATGCAGATGCAGACATAGCTTCCATATATATTTCGCACGGGTGTCTGATTGAGATTAAATTTTGAACAGTGCGGCATACCGAATAGCGTGTATTAAGTTTGCTATAAATCGATTTAAATCAGTTTGTCCCATTGTACGCAAACCATTCTAAATCTGCCTGAATGAAATGAAACTTTGCATAGGTTTCAGAATATATGTACGGATTGATGTTAGGCGGGTCACATATAGATAAAACTCACATATTTAAGTTCATTCAATTTCATGTCAATATTATTTAGAAAAGGCGACGTCTGTTAGGATATATATGTAGAATGTACCAAAATGGTGAAGGGTATCATATAGTCGATCCCAGCCCGACTTTACTACTTTCCTAAGTCACTTTCTCACCGCAGAGCCACTATTCCAATGTATTGCATATTGGGAATCCCATATAACAGAGCCATATATAGGTCTCACAAGTAATGTAAAAATATGTTTTGTAGTGTAGGGAGCGGGAAATTCCTTTAGCCAATCGTTTTATAAATCCTACGACATCGTGAGCTTTTTTATAATAGTGATGTTTCTGATAGTGTTTGTGTGGTTGACTTTCAGCATCCGTTGAGAAGGTATAGGCAATACAATATGACACTTATTAAAAGTTTTACCTGGCGGAATTCTTTATATCTCATTGTTATTAAGTTTATAAATTCATATTCGCATACTCTTGGGTTTCTCATTGATGTATTAGATTTTCGAGAGCTCGAGATGCATCTGAAAAGTGCATTTAATTTTTTTCCACATTCATATTTTTGTAAAGAGGCAATTTGTCTTGATCGTTAACATATCGACAAATTCATTACGGAAAATAAAAATGTGTGCAAATTCCAGTTATCGACCTTTTTGTCGCCACAGAATTCCACTACAGATCAGACATTTCCAATTCCAGATATTAGACTTATTTCGCTGCATGATATGCATTCCTATTTTTGTTTCGGAAATTGAGATTAAATGATGAGCTTTGGGTTTTTATTTGACTGGTTTTTTATTTGTTTTTTATTTATAACTTCATTCTGGTTTTACGCTAATTTTATATACTTTACATTTTATTTTTATTTTAATTAATATATTCGTATGCACACACAAAACAATAAATTCTCTAAACTATATAAACGCTAGAAATCATCAAAAACAAATTATTATTTTTGTATTTATGTAGTTGTTCTTTGTTTTACTATTTAAATTTTATTACATGGGGTACTTTCAGTTTCTTAGATTCATCATCACCTTAAATTGTGTCTAATGTCTCGTCCCCTTCTTACTCTTGATGTTTTTTTCTTCTTTAGTTGGATTTAACTTTGTTATTGCGTTCGACATTATTATAATGTGTGGGTGATGATTCCGGCGATTTGACAGACAATTTACAAAATGCCTGATACATTGTGGGGAAGTACTGAATGACAAAGTATACCGAAAACAAATAAGCACAAATCAATATGGTTAAGAATAAATCGAAGACAGCTGGTTTGACACGATAAACATTTAGATTGGCATAGGCTCCCTCGTAGAACATAAAGTCAGGTTCACGAGCATCTGGTTTGTCGTAGATTACTTTGACATTTTTCAGATATTTTTCAAATGCATTTTTGAGGTCGTTGTTGTGTAAAGCGGATTTAAGATTTAAGTACGATTTGATAAGTTTTGGTGTAATTTGCTAGGGAAGAGAAATGAAAATGGAAAGGAATTAGTTGGGGAATTGAGATTTTTTTATGCAGACTTACCATGGCACCGGCAAAGACTTCCAATTCCTCACTATCCACTGCAGCAGCATTATTGTTGTTTTCGCCATAAACATAACGGGCCAATGCTTCGGCAATAATTTTCGTATTAAGTTGAGCTCTTTCCAAAACTTCCTCTTCACTGTCACTGAAAATGGTGGTACGTGTGGGATGTTTTGGGGTCTTCAAGGCGGATAAAGTAAATGCTGATAGACGTTTGATGCTGAAACGTTCATGTTGCCAGGCTAATTGTTGATCGGCTAGATTGATTTTCTTGTGCACACCCTCAACAGAGACATTTTGATATTTTTGACCGGCCTTCTTTAGATGTTTGAAGAATACATTCATGGGTGTGTTTTCTTTTGGTGGTTTGGAAACATGCATATACAGCTGTTGATCGGCATTTTCTCCATTCAGGGTTTGTGTAATGCTGTCCAAACACAAAACAAAGTCCACATTCTGTTTTTTGAGGGGAAAGAGAAAAAATGATTTGTTTATTCTATTATTTCAAACAACAATAAAAATAGAAATGGAAATAGCAATACGGTAAAGTGAAAGTTTGACTAAGAAATAAGGTGTAATGAGGGAAAAAGAAATCCAAAAAGCAAACTTGTTTGCAAGTTTTGCAAATGTTTGTAGCAAAGGCTAAAGGTTAATGATCTACAGGGAGATATGGTTGGTATGTTTTTTTTTTAAATTTACTTTAGCTTGTCTACACCAAATTTTACAATATTTTCTTATTGTTCAAAATCAAACCTCTTCAATTATATCACTGTGTTTTCCATGAGAAATAATGGTACCGGTTATAGAAAATATATCATCAAACTTTTTTGTGTTAAACGAAAAATTAATGCCCATTTAATGATTTTTGCCACATAAAAGCCCTTACCTGCAATTGAACATTTTCATCCAACCATTTTTTGGCACCTTGGAAATTCAACAATGGCCCAGATTCCGACAACAAGAACAATAGACGATATTTTGGTGCAGCATTGGCTGTATTGTGTAGTTTACTAAACAGATCTGCCAATGACATTAAAATGGCGGCATCAACATTTGTGGGATATTCATTGTAAATGCCAAAGGTATTCAAATGTCCAGCCACAATAATCAATGGCAGTTTACTATTGAGATCTTCATTATTGTTGGCTTTATTGAATTTGGCAACTGGTGCCAATTCTCCTTGGACAATTGGAATTTTACTATTCTTATTGGCCGTATGACTGGCACCGGTCACAATGATTTGATAGCCATTTGCCGAAATGGAATTGAATACTTCATTGAGGGCAGAATTGTCTCGGGAATTTTTCTTATTGTTGTTCGTTGCTGTGTTGCGGCTAATGTCATTGACAATTTTCTCCAATTCTGGGTTATATTGTGAAAAATATACGGGTACAGAAATTGATTGAGTCATCATGGCTTGTTCCAATAGATTTAGATGCTGAAACACAAGGGGGAAGGAGTGGTTATTTTATTTGGATGAAATTTATATTTTGTAAAGACATACCTCCTTATCCTCACTAGACATGGTGGAGACATTTTGGGGCAAAAGTAAAACCAAGCCACCGGCTTTTTGTCTAATCTCTTTGAATTGATCAATGGTAACATCTTGAAATCTAAAAAAGAAAGTTTGTTAATGTGTTTTAATTACAACAATAGATTTTAAACTTACTTGGCAACAACACAATGTCTGGATGTACTCCAAGTATACAGAGATTTGGCTTCCAATGACAAGGCAGAGGCACGGCATCCTAAAAAGAAGAATTAAATTGATATGAAAATATATCTTAAGAGTTTACTTTAGAAAGAGCACATGGTTCCGCCTGTATTTACAGAGATAATTCTTCACACCTCTTTCTGTGTGAGGGCTTATCTTAAATTCATTTCCAAGTACTTTATCTTGATTTGTTGGTTTTCACAATAATGGTGTCATATGCGGAGAATATTATACATATTTTCCAATATACTGCTGCACACACATATAAATATTAAAATATTTAAAATACCATGCACTTCGAACCCACTGGCCCCTTCACGTCTCTCCTCTTCTCCATAAATGAATAAAATTGTGCGGACCACACAAAACTTGCGGCGGGTTTTAAGTTTTATTAATTAGACACCATCATCACATGCATAGTGTGTAGCTCAGAAATTGTGGTATTCAGCATAATATAGCTACCAATCACTACCCCCTTTTTGTGAAATAAAAATCACACTAAAAATAAACGCGCGTTGACCATTTTTTTCTTCTCGCTTCTTTTTTTGCCCACCATTGTGCGTGTGCAGTAGCCAGTTCGCCAGCCAATCGACCAACCAACCAAAGTCTTCTCTACTAACCATAAGAAACACCATTGACATCGAATTGGGACATTCGCTGAACAGTAAATTCACTGGAGGCCAATACGGGATTAGCTGAACAGATAATCATGATGGGCAATGCCAAGAGTAAATAGTATGGCAAACCACCACGGAATATATCCGCAAAATTGTCTGCATCTTCAAAGAGGGCCATCTTTATTTCTTTTTTTCTGTCGTTCGCGTGTGTGCGCTGGCTGGCAGAAGAAAAAAAAAATAATTTGGATGGCGGTTGCCAGAAAAAAAATCGAAGGCGATTTGCCCCTTGTTTTTGTTTAAATTATTCACAAAAAACACTGACTAAAGTTGTCCGCTATGTGTGTCCCACTTTCTGCTGACTTTCATTGATGTTTTATTAATTTAATTAAAAATGTTCTTGTGAAACGTTGAAGTATTATGCAGGTGTGGATTTTTTCTCCCTTCTTATTCTCGTACACCGGTCTGCACGTTAGATCTCTGTGCAAGAGAGTACTCGAATAACGATTACTTTTTTACTCTACTCATTTGCCCTTAATTTACCAGTCAGTGGTAGCAGCTTAGTCATTGAGCAGTGTTGCCAAACTTATTGTCTGTACTTATTGAGAAAGCAAGGAGATAATAAAATGGGATAAAAGAATAAGAAGCACAAATGCCAAATTATTTTGAGAGAAAAAAAAATAATAAACATAATTATAAAATAAAATGTCAATGAAAATACATCAAAATAAACGAAAGCAAAAACAAAGAACACGCTGAGAGAAATGTCATTTGCATATAGCACTAAAACATCCAATGTGGTTGGTAACATTGTTTTCTCCCCAATGTCATTTGTCAAAGTAATCGAGTAGTCATTCTTGTGGCAACTGTCAAAAGTGGCTGACATGCAATATACACATATGAAATAGTGGTGGTTAATGTAGATGTGTGTGTGCTGCATTTATTTAATGAACAATTAACAAATATTAACCCTACATTGTTAATTAAATATTATTTTTTGTATTTTTAATTAATTTCTCACTTTCAGTCATTCTTTTTGTTAGTTTTACATTACTTTGAAGTTTCTGGCAATCTTGCCAGATTGCACACTCTTCTTGGGAAAATTATAGGGAATATGAAAAAGATAAATCTAAATTGCCTATTTACCGTTAACAACTGAATGTTTTTACGAAATTATGAAAATATTAATTTATCCTGGATTCGATTAAAAAATCTTCTAATTAGTTTGGCGAATATGATTTTTTATTACGAAAAGCAGCAATTCATCCTAGCTGAATAAGGTTTCCATTATATAATCAGTAATTCAACTTTGCTGAATATGATTTCCGTTAGGTTCCTATTCATGTTAATCAGTTTGAATTTGATTTCCATTGAGAATACTTCAATTAGACCTTGCTGAACAAGTTATCCGTTATGAAAACATTAATTCTGTCTGGCTGAATTAGTTTTCCGTTATGAAAAGATAAATTTAGACCGACTGATTAACATTTCAATTCAACCAAGCTGATAAGGTCTACATAAGTAAAACTTGAATTCAGCGTGTCTGAATAAGGTTTCCATTAGGAAAACTTAAATTCAGTGTGGCTGAATAAGGTTTCCATTAGGAAAACTTCAATTCAGTCTGGCTGAATAAGGTTTCCATTAGGATAACTTAAATTCAGTGTGGCTGAATAAGGTTTCCATAAGGAAAACTTCAATTCAGTCTGGCTGAACAAGGTTTCCATTGGGAAAACTTCAATTCAGTTTCCATTGTGAAAACTTAAATTCAGTTTGGCTGAATCAGATATCAATAAGGAACATTTAAAGTTAGGGATAGAGAGGAGGTCATTGACTTAACCCTCTCAAATCTAGATGACTCCGTCATTAGAAATTGGAGAGTATCTGATGAATGCTCCTTCTCAGATCATTTAAAGATTCTCTTCGAGTACTCTTTTGAGGGAGATAGACAAAAGCCTTATCGGAATCCAAGGAGAACAAACTGGGAGAAATTCACGGAGCTAACGAACTCTCAGCTGACTCTTAGCACAAACCTAGGAACAGCTGTGGAACTCAACGGGGCCGTGAAAAATCTAACGGATGTTCTCCTTGGTTGTCATAAGGAATCCTGTCCGCTTACACACCCTGGGAAGAAATCTCGGCCAGTGTGGTGGAACAAGGAACTTGGTGAGCTCAGGAAAGCGACCAGACGACTGTATAACAGGGCGCATAAGTCTAAACTCGACACTGATTGGAACTCCTATAGAGTTAGTTTCAATAAGTACAAGAGTGAGATAAAACGCGCGAAGAAGAAGTCTTGGGTAAATTTCTGTGAGTCTATAGAAGGAGTCAACGACGCTGCTAGGTTTCGAAAACTACTATCCAAGGACCCTAAGTCCATTGGTAGTATTAAGAAGCAGGATGGAGCGTGGACGGACTCAGGTTCTGAGACTCTAAATCTCCTAGCCGAGACTCATTTTCCGGGTTGCAAAGACATGGGTACCATCGACGATGACCGTGATGACACTCGGCCTTTCGTCACTCCGGATCTGGATCTCATTAGCAAGGTGATTAACAGAAATAAGATACGATGGGCGGTCAACACATTCAAGCCGTATTAATCGCCAGGACCAGATGGTATCATACCGGCGATGCTTCAACATGCCTCGCCAAGTATTTATCTGATCCTTGAGAAGATTTACACTGCGTGTCTGACTCTCTCGTATGTTCCGGATCTGTGGAACGAGGTAAAGGTTACTTATATTCCCAAAGCAGGGAAGCCAAGTCATTCTGCACCAAAAGACTATAGACCCATTAGCCTATCATCCTTTCTCCTCAAGACTCTCGAAAGACTGATCGATCTGGAGATAAGGAGTCGTATAGACACCACCTCTCTTAGCAATTCACAGCACGCATACATAAAGGGCAAGTCTGTGGAATCTGCGTTGCATGAGGTGGTAGGCTACATTGAGAGGAACATGGAAAATTCAAATTTCACGCTGGCTGCCTTCTTAGATATTGAGGGGGCCTTTAACAACGTTAAACTTGAATCCATAAACCACTCACTTAGGGAAGTTGGCATTCCTGATACCCTGACACATTGGATAGATAAAATGCTTAACAGCAGGATTATAAATTCAAGTGTGGGGAATGCAAAAATCAGGAAAACGGTAACTAGAGGCACACCTCAAGGAGGGGTGCTCTCGCCGTTACTTTGGCTACTGGTTATTAACATCATTTTGAGGAAATTGGACGGGATAGGTACCAAAGTTGTAGCTTATGCGGACGACGAGGTGATATTGATCTCTGGAAAATTTCCATCTACGATCTCTGAGCTTATGCAAAGAGCCTTACTAACGCTGTCACGCTGGGCCAGGGCAAATGGTCTTGGTGTAAATCCAACGAAGACGGAACTGGTAATGTTCACTAGGAAGCGTAAGCTCGGTGTTTTTGTTCCACCAACATTGGATGGAGTGCAACTTCACCTCTCTCCCGAAGCAAAGTACCTCGGCACAATCCTGGACTGTCAACTACGATGGAAAAGGAACGTTGAGGAGCGGGCGAAGAGAGGAATGATTGCACTCTATGCTTGCAAGAACTCCATTGGGAAAAGCTGGGGACTAAAACCATCGACTATACACTGGATGTATAACACTGTGGTGAAGCCCATCTTATCCTATGGCTCTCTTGTTTGGTGGAACTGTCTGAGCCTCAAGTCGACATCAAGTAGATTAGACAAGGTACAAAGAGCCGCCGCGATTTTAGTTACAGGAGCCAGAAGGAGTACGCCACAAGCAGCTTTGAACGCAATGCTGGATTTCAAGCCTTTGGGCCTCAGCATTAAGTGTCAAGCTGCGCGTAGCGCCCTACGGCTACATGAACAAAAACTCTGGCGGACCTGTACCTTTGGGCATGGTAGTGTTCTGAATGAACCAGGTATAGCCCTGGATCAACGAATTAAATTAAGCGACTACATATCACCAATTCTTAGATTTGACGATGTAGAAGTCGTAATTCCTAGTAGGGACGACTGGAAACGAAGTAACCCTCCTCTGGACGGTCTGGCCTGCTATACAGACGGATCCAAGATGGAAGAAGGCACTGGGGCAGGCGTCTACTGTGAAAGGTTAGGCCTTGAGTTAACCTACAAGCTGGATAGCAACTGCAGTGTTTTCCAAGCTGAAATCTTCGCGATCTGGAAGGCAGCGGAATTGATAAAAAGTCTGGATGCTGAGGTCGTTGAACCGGTGACTATCTTCGTGGATAGTCAAGCGGCTCTTAAAGCCATCAAATCTTGTCACATCAAATCCGAAGCCGTCCTCAAGTGTAGAACAGCTCTGGAAGAACTTAACCGTAGCTATCGGTTGTGTTGGGTACCAGGACATTGTGACATTTTGGGTAATGAAAGAGCGGATGAACTAGCTAGACGAGGATCTCAATCCACTGATCTAGAAACTGATGACTCAATCAAACCACCCATATGTCTTTTCTATAGGAACTTTGAGGCGTTCTTTGACGAAACAGCCTGCGAACTATGGCACAACGAACCTAGGTGCAACGTGTCAAGATCCATTTGGCCGACTCTGTCTACCAAAAGAACGCGCAAACTATTGAACCTGAGCAAAGCCGAAATTAGAGTGGTGACAGGAATCATCACTGGTCACTGCAATATCAGGGCCTTTACTAGTAAATGGGACCTCGATGCAATTGATTATTGTAGACTCTGTGTTGACGAAGAGGAGACGGAGACAATTGAGCATCTCCTGTGCCAGTGCCCAGCCCTTGCTTACAGGCGGCACAGACTAATGGGGGCTCACTTTCTACCTGGTCTCAGCCTCTTCTCAACAACCGAACCTGCTCTAATCTACAGCATAATTAGAAGCATAAAGTGGTTAGGAGCACACAACCTTGGCACGTAACACTTTTCTGTCAGACTCATAGGACCATCGACCCTCACTATTCACTCCTTTAATTTCACAAATCTTCTCTCCCCTACAGATCTATTCCTTATCTCTTCACTTCGCTGCTTCTCTTCTTGTGGATGATCACAACGGACCTAACCGGTCTCAGAGTGTTGCAGTCATACACGTGACTGCACATCCCCAAACCTAACCTAACCTAACCTAACCTAACATTTACTTGGAAAATATCAATTTCTTTTTACTTGGAAAATATAAATTCAGCCCTGATAAATAATACTTTCAAAATGCTTTGATTCGGTCTTACTAAAAAAGATTTTAATTTGGAAGCCATGCTAAATAAAGTTTTACTTAGGAAATATAGCTTTCTGGCATGCTGAAGAGGTTTTAATTAGGAAATCTTCTATTTACCTTTGTTGGATACGAATTCCACCTGAATAAGATTTCTGATTCGATTCAGCCCTGATAAATAATACTTTCAAAATGCTTTGATTCGGTCTTACTAAAAAAGATTTTAATTTGGAAGCCATGCTAAATAAAGTTTTACTTAGGAAATATAGCTTTCTGGCATGCTGAAGAGGTTTTAATTAGGAAATCTTCTATTTACCTTTGTTGGATACGAATTCCACCTGAATAAGATTTCTGATATGGGTTTCATTATGAAAACTTCAATTTAGCCCGGCTCAATAAGAATTTCCTCATGAAAAATTCTATTCAGCACGCTGGAATAGGGGTTCCCTACGAAAACTACAATTCAGTTAGGGTTTCATAAGGAAGTATCCTATTTTGCTTTGCCAATTAAAATTTTCTTTGGGAAACCTTCGAATCGGCTTCACTAAATAAGGCTTTCCTTAAAAAACTTTCGATTCAGCCCTGCTGAATAAAGTAATTCTTAGGAAATCTTCGTAACAGCCCTGCTGAATAAGGTTTTCATTAGGATATCTTCGATTTACCTTGGCTGGATACGAATTCCGCTTGATTTGATTTGGCTGAATAAGATTTCAGATTTCAATTTAACCAGGCTCAAAAAGGTTTTCTTAATGCAAAATTCAATTCAAGCACGCCGGGATAGGGGTGTCACTAAGAAAACTTTAATTCAGTATGGCTGAGTAATGTTTTTATTAGAAAAAATTATTTTCTGCACAACAGATTAAGATTTCCATTAGTAAAATCAAAATCAATTTCCGTTAAAAATTTGCTCATTAGGAAAAAAGCAAATCGGCTTGTCTGAATACGATTTTCATTAGAAAAATTACAATTCAGCCTAGCTGAATAAGGTTTTCATTATTCCGCATTGCTGAATACAGTTCTAATATTGTTACACGAGGATGTTATTTTTCATTTTATTATCCCTAAAGCCTCTTATTAACCATTGTTATATTTTTGTCTCTTTTTTTCCAGATACAAGACTTCTCATCTCAATTCTATTTGACCGAAGCCGATATTGGTAAAAATCGTGCCGAAGCATCATGTAATAAATTGGCCGAACTTAATAACTATGTTCGTACATCAGCATATACCGGTGAATTGACCGAAGATTTCCTGCGTCAGTTCCGTGTCATTGTCTTGACAAATGCCAGCGATGCTGAACAGCATCGCATTGCAAAATTCGCCCATGAGAATAACATTGCATTGATTATTGCCGAAACTCGTGGTCTGTATGCCAAAGTCTTTTGTGATTTTGGTGAAAACTTTACTATCTACGATCAGGATGGTGCCCAACCCATTTCGACAATGATTGCAAGTGTTACCCATGATTCACAGGGTGTTGTCACCTGTTTGGATGAGACACGTCACGGTCTTAACGATGGTGATTATGTAACATTCTCCGAAGTTCAAGGCATGACTGAATTGAATGGTTGTGCTCCATTGAAAATTAGTGTATTGGGTCCATACACCTTCAGCATTGGTGATACCAGTAAATTCAGCGAATACAAGACCGGTGGTATTGTAACCCAAGTGAAAATGCCCAAAACCATTAGTTTCAAACCCTTGGAGGTTGCAGAAAAAGAACCGGAGTTTTTGATTTCCGATTTCTCAAAATTCGATCATCCTGCTACATTGCATGTAGCTTTTAAAGCTTTGCATAAATATCTCGAAGAAAATGACGGAAAACCACCACGTCCATGGAATGAAGAGGATGCCCAGAAATTCTTGCAACTTTGCAAATCCATCGATCAGAATGTGTTGGACAATGTTGTGTTGACCTTTGCCAAGATTTGTGCTGGTAACACCTGCCCCATTGATGCTGCCATGGGTGGTATGGTTGCCCAGGAAGTTCTTAAGGCTTGCAGTGGCAAATTCACACCCATCTATCAATGGTTCTACTACGATGCTGTTGAATGTCTACCCGAAGGCGGAGTTGAGGAGGCTGATGCCCAACCCATTGGTTCCAGATATGATGCTCAAATTGCCATTTTCGGCAAGAAATTCCAAGAGAAATTGGGTGATGTCAAGTAAGTTTTGTGGGATTTTTTAACTATGGAATCAAATATTAAATTTGTTTTCGTTTTTCAGATACTTTATTGTTGGCGCCGGCGCTATTGGTTGTGAACTGATCAAGAACTTTGCCATGATTGGTGCAGGTGTGCGCAATGGCCAACTTTTCATAACCGACATGGATCTCATTGAGAAATCAAATTTGAATCGTCAGTTCCTGTTCAGACCAAAAGATGTGCAAAAACCCAAAGCCCAAACCGCTGTGGCTGCCATCAAACAAATGAATCCCGAAATTAAGGTCACCGCCTATGAATTGCGTGTCGGCACCGAAACCGAAAAAGTATTCTCCGAAGAATTCTACAGCCAATTGGATGGTGTAGCCAATGCTTTGGATAACATTGATGCCCGTATTTATATGGATCGTAAGTGTGTTTTCAATCGCATACCCTTGGTGGAGTCTGGTACTCTCAGCACTATGGGTAATGTTCAGGTTATTGTGCCATTCTTAACGGAATCGTACAGTTCATCACAAGATCCACCAGAGAAGAGCATTCCGATTTGTACATTGAAGAATTTCCCCAATGCCATTGAGCATACCTTGCAATGGGCACGCGATTGTTTCGAGGGCATTTTCACACAGACGGCCGAGAATGCTGCTCTGTATGCCTCGGATCCTACATTCATTGAGCGTACATTGAAATTATCGGGTATTCAGCCATTGGAAACATTGGAGTCTGTTAAGGTAAATACTTTTTTTAATTCTATATTTAATTGCTTATCTAATTTTGTGAATCTTTGTTCGTACGTAGGTCGCCTTGATCGATGACAAACCCAAAGATTTTGCCGATTGCGTTAAATGGGCCCGTCTCTACTGGGAAGAGTGCTATGCCAATCAAATTAAACAATTGTTGTACAATTTCCCTCCCAATCAAATTACCTCAAGTGGTCAACCGTTTTGGTCGGGTCCCAAACGTTGCCCCGAACCATTGGTATTCGATATCAATAATTCAATGCATGTGGATTACATTTACGCTGCTGCCAATTTACGTGCTGAAGTGTATGGTTTGCCACAAGTTCGTGACCGTGATACTGTTATTAATTTGGTCCAACAGGTTCAGGTGAGTAAAATAAGACATCCAGCTTTTCTTTTTATGAAGACTCCGATATCTTTCAAATAGTTTGGCAATACTTTCATCTGTAGATGATTTTGACTTACCTGTGTTGTCTTCAGATTCTGACTCCATTTTTAGAAGGAACTTAAGGATATGTAAATATTTAATTTTCCGTCTGTATCTCTCTTTACATCAGGTACCCGAATTCAAACCACGCTCTGGTGTTAAAATCGAAACCAATGAAGCTGCCGCTGCTGACGCCAACAACCACGATGAAGTCGATCAGGATCGTGTAAATAAAATACTCACCGAATTGCAGGCATTGGGCAAATTGGACTTCACCATCAAACCATTGCAATTTGAAAAGGACGATGACAATAATTTACACATGGACTTTATTGTGGCTGCCTCTAATTTAAGAGCAACCAACTACAAGATTACACCTGCCGATCGTCATAAATCCAAGCTGATTGCTGGTAAAATTATGCCGGCCATTGCCACAACAACTTCATTGATTTCTGGCTGGGCCGTTTTAGAAATCATCAAACTTATTATGGGGTAAGTCACATACTCTCTCAGCTCCCTGAGATCAAAACATTTACTCATTTTAAATATTTTTTATTACAGACACAAAGATCTATCGAAATTCAAGAATGGCTTTGCCAATCTTGCCTTACCCCTTGTGGCTTTCTCCGAACCTCTGCCAGCACCCAAAAACACTTTCTATGGCAAGGAATGGACACTGTGGGACCGTTTTGAAGTGCCCGGTGAATTGACATTGCAGGAGTTCTTGGAATACTTTGAAAAGAAGGAAAAACTCAAGATCACCATGTTGTCTCAGGGTGTATCAATGCTCTATTCATTCTTTATGCCCAAGGCTAAATGTGCTGAGCGCATGCCATTGCCAATGTCCGAGGTGGTACGTCGGGTGTCCAAGAAACGCATAGAACCACATGAACGTTCATTGGTATTTGAAATTTGCTGCAATGACGAAGAAGGTGAGGATGTTGAAGTACCCTATGTGCGGTATACTCTGCCCTAAAGACAGACGGAAGATGATAATGATGAAGAAGCAGGAGGAGAAAAAGAAGAAGACAACAAGGAATCGAAAGCAGAACATTAACAACCAGAAATAATTTATCTCCGAAATGTTTTGGCAGTTTAACTGAATATATAATTTTATTATTATTATTAATTTTTGTATCAATGAATTTGAAAAATTAATTTAGAGTTTGCTGTGTGGAGGGTCCACAAAACCCTATGCGTTTAATAATACAAAAATATAAAGAAGAAAAAAAAAAAAACAAAGAAAAAAAACAACAAACAATGTGCATTATTTGTTTCCCCCCACTTTCCTTTTTTAACATACACCCGTGCATATATAAATGCATAAACTGGAATTAATTAATTAACACCTAGAAAGTTCACATTTTAATTTATTTTCTATACAACAAAGTTCTACAGCAACAACAATAACATTTAGGCATAAGAGAAGAGCGCCAGCTAAACAAAACGAAGGGCAACCCGTAAATAATCATAAACGAGATACACATACATACACTTTGTATTAATTTAATTTTTCTAAGGAATTATTATTTATTGAAAACAAAACGGTCAAGAAAAACTAAATAAAGAACTTAAAAATGAGAAAAAAAATATTAAGAAATTTATTCGTTTTTGGTGTTTTATTCAGCCTTATTCTGAATATTCGCTGGGAGATATCTCGCATATAAAAAATTTTTCGCTTTCATATTCTCGCCTTATTCTGAATGAATAGGGAGACGCAAAAAATGCGAGATGCTGATTCGAGTTTTCGAAAATGGTGGTTGAAAAATAGATTTGTGTTGCCATATTGTAATTTAAGTTGTAATGTGTGTGGCCATATTGTAATTTAAGTTGCAATGTGTGTTGCCCCATTGTAATTTAATTGTGTAATATTTTTCAATATTTCATTTTCTTGATTTTTTTATTAAAAATGTTTACTTTTTATTGTTATTTAAACTATATAACAATAAAAATGTGAAATATCAATAATCTGCTGTATAAATGCTTTGTAATTAAAAGAAAATAAATTAAAGTTTAAAAATATGGCAACCTACAATATGGCATGTGAAACAGCTGTTCATTGTTTTGATGCAATTTGATGCAACAACTACAACTGAGAATACAACAACGAATAATGGAAAGAAATCTGCGATTGAATTAATTAATTCAGTTTATTATTTCACTACCTAATTGTGTGCCTTTTTATTTAATTTCGATATTTATTTCCCCAGATTCTTAAAATGGCCTGTTATTTTATGATTTGCTCCTACTCCTTTATTTCTTCCATCAAATAAAAAAAATAATTAAAAAAAAAAATATTTTTTTGTTCTTTCATAATTTATATTTAAGTTTTTCACTGTTAAGCGGCTAATCAGGCAAATTTGGGTTTTCCATAATTTTTAAAATTTTTTTCTTGAGAGACAGATCCTCACCCAAAATGTCTGTATTTCGCCTCTAAAAATCAAACTCGACTTAAATATTCCTTATTACCTTTATACATTTCTTGGCAATACTTGCTTCAGCATGCATCGTTATCAATAGGATTTCCAATGGCATTTTATTGGTTGTTTTCCAGTTAAAAATTTGCTTACTATCATTTATAATATTCTAAATCGTCATAGAATAAGTATTGTGTAAATATTTTTCATAAAAATAGTTATTACTTATGTTTTTGTAGTCAACTCCCCTTAAATTTATTAGCGAAAATTTTCGCACAAAATTTCCTACTCCCTGTAATTCAGAATACCTAATTTTTCCCCAAAGCGGATTTTTTCGCTTTCGAACTTCATTCAGAATAAGGCGAAAGCGAGAATGCGAAAAAATTCACTGGAAAATGTTGTTCAGAATAAGGCGAAGGGAAAGAGCGAGTAAATTCACATGGAATTGACATCCAGAATAAGGCTGATTGTTGTTCGTAATATTAGGGAATTCCTTTTTTTTTGAAAAAAAACATGCAGGTGAAATTATGTAATCTTTATAAACAAAGTTTTAGAGAAGTTAGACTACAGTTAGATCATTGTATTGTAGGTTTCTGACTTTATGGGAGACAAGGATATATACTGGTGGCCAAAACTAAAGCAACTGAAATAGCAAATTGAAGTAATTATCTCTAACTTTTTTTGAAAATAAAGTTTTAGTGAAAGTTTTTTTTTTCAGAAATAAATAGCTAATTTATTCAGTTTTAAAAAGAAATATACAGCCTTATTCTGGATGTCAATTCCATGTGAATTTACTCGCTCTTCCCCTTCGGCTTATTCTGAACAACATTTTCCTGTGAATTTTTTCACATTCTCGCTTTCGCCTTATTCTGAATGAAGTTCGAAAGCGAAAAAATCCGCTTTGGGGAAAAATTAGGTATTCTGGATAACAGGGAGTAGGAGAATGAGATGAAATTTTGTGCGAAATATTTCGCTAATAAATTCAAAGGGAGCTGACTACAAAAACATAAGTAATAAATATTTTTATGAAAAATATTTACACAATACTTATTCTATGACGATTTAGAATATTATAAATGATAGTAAGCAAATTTTTAACTGGAAAACAACAAATAAAATGACATTGGAAATCCTATTGATAACGATACATGCTGAACCAAATATTGCCAAGGAATGTATGGAGGTTATAAGGAATATTTAAGTCGAGTTTGACGCATTTTGGAGGCGAAATACAACCATTTTGGGTGAGGATCTGTCTCTCAAGAAAAAAAAAATAAATAAAAAATTATGGAAAAACCAAATTAGCCTGATGAGCCGCTTAACAGTGAAAAACTTAAATAAAAATTATGAAAGAACAAAAATAAAGCTACAAAAAAATTTATTTTTTTAAATTATCGTGTGCATCATTTGAAGGAAGAAATAAAGGAGTAGAATCAAATCATAACATAACTGGCCAATTTATGAATTTGGGGAGATAAATATCGAAATTAAATAAAAAGGCACACAATTATGTAGTGAAATAATAAAATGTGAATTAATTAATTAAATCGCAGATTTCTTCCCATTATTCGTTGTATTTTTGCCATCATAAAAAAATGTTCTTTTATTTGTAATCTATTGTAGTTGTTGCACCAAATTGCATCAAAACAATGAACAGCTGTTTCAAATGCCATATTGTAGGTTTAAACTTTAATTTATTTTCTTTTAATTACAAAGCATTTATACAGCGGATTACTGATATTATACATTTATATTGTTATAAAGTTTAAATAACAATAAAAAGTAAACATTTTTATTAAAAAATTCATAAATAAAATATTGAAAAATATTACACAATTAAATTTCAATGGGGTAACACACATTGCAACATAAATTACAATATGGCCGCACACATTACAACTTAAATTACAATATGGCAACACAAATCTTTTTTTCAACCACCATTTTCGAAAACTCGAATCCGCATCTCGCATTTTTTGCGTCTCCCTATGCATTCAGAATAAGGCGAGAATGTGAAAGCGAAAATTTTTCTACATGCGAGATATCTCCCAAAGAATATCCAGAATAAGGCTGATAATAAACGTAAAATTTATTTTGAAATAAAAAATATTCTATGGAAAAATAAATTGACCCAATTTTTTGCTTGGTCAAACTAAAGAAACGTTGATTTTTTTTATAAATAAATAAGCAAATTTTGCTAGTAATCGACCGCATAACCATTATTTTTCATTATGGCAGCCACCTACGAGGCATTGAATTAATAAAATGCTCAATTTGATCCTTGGGTATTATTCCTATTCCTTGCCTCCTGAACCTCTGTTTGTTTGTGAAACTTTTGATTTTTCTATCGATGATACTCCAAAGATTTTTCTATAGGGCAAATTTCTGATGATTGTGTTGGCCATTATAGAACCCTAATGTTTGATTCCCGCAACCAATCTTTGACATGTTTTCGTGTATTTTTGGAGGTTATTCTCAAGGTGAAACACGCAAACAAGCTGTATATTTTCTTCAGCCAAGGGAACCATAGCGTTTTTCAACACATTTGTATAAACAATCCGATTCATTACTTTATAAATCTCGTAAATATATCGAACTCCATAAAAAGAAAAACAGCCCAATACCATTATTGACCCTCCTCCATGCTTACCAGTACCCCTGCAATACTGTGGCATGATATATTCATTTTTGGACTTCCTGACGGTAATTTTTTTATGTATGAGTCTTTTATATTTAACTTTAATTCATCCGAGAGCAAAATATGTCTCCATTGAGTCGGATTCAAATTAATATGAGGTTTTGGGAAAGGCTTGATAGTTTGAGAGCATGTAGGCCTGCTACCATAGCTCGTTTACGCTTTGTTCTTGAGGTTATATCCGTGATGAACTGGCACTACTGATCTAGTTGCATAAAACCGACTTATAATTCGAGAAATCACTGAATTATTCACGGAATATTTCGCCGAAATCATTTTCTGTGAAAATTGTTTTCACAATCACTAATAAATTAATGTTCTGTATATGTTCTATCAATTTTTTAGCAGTTTATTTCTGTTTGTATTGAAGAGTTGCTTTAGTTTTGTCCAAGCAAAAATTGAGACATTACAGTTTCCAAAAATTATTAAATTTTTTTAAAATGAATTTTGCATGTATGCTTTTGTTTCTTATTATAAAAGTGAATAAAGTACCCCATTTAAAACTGAAATACCCACACGATATCATTATTTTTGAAAAAAGTAATGCGGCATTTATTAACCTTGCAATTTTAGTTTTGGCCACCAGTGTATCTTCATACCACGAACATGATATACGAGTAAATTGCTACATAGCATTTTCTATTATAGAAAGGCTACTGGAACTGCGATTAGGAAAATTCCTATAAAAGATCAGCAAATCTCAGTATACTTTAAACAACCCTTTACACAATATGGTCGAATATATGATAGAATGGGGTGAATCCCTTCACCGATATTCTGGGAGCTTTTAGAATGAAACATTGAACTCTATTTATTCCGATGGCATAGGAATTACATAGATGTGAGCGTTTTTGGAATAACATCTGTATGAA